GGCTCACTCTCACGTGGGTTGGAGTCCTCACTACGCTTCCTGGGCTGGCGTATCTGTCAGCGCTAGGCGAACGATAGTTGTCTTATATCTCATATCTCAGATACTGGCATATTTAGCCTCGCATTGCTAGCGTGGACAAGGCATGGAACTCAGATGCTTGCGTCATAAGTGGCATTAGTGGTGTGGTTTGTGCGTCATTAAGGTGCTCGCTCATAGCCTCTCATCTATTTGAATGATCCTCAGCCGTGACTCTGGGGTCAGCGCTTAGGTACGGCCTCTACGGTACCTATACCCTCATATGACTATGGGGAGATGATATCGTGGTATTACGGCGGGTGTCACACGGTTGGGCATGATATAGTGATATGTGTTTGGGTTTGTTGGTGTTTTTTTTTTTTTGTTGTGGTTTTTTAGTCGTTGTGTGTCGCATGTAGGTGTGTGTGTTTTTTTGTGTTTGTGTGTGTCGTGTGGTGGGGGTCGTGTGCTCTCGGTGTGTGGTGTGTGTGTGTGTGATGTCGTGTGTGTGTCGCTGTGGTCGTGGATGTGAGTGTCATATATGTATCGAGTTGTATATACTTAGCTATGGGAGATAGGGGTAAGGTATGTACGTCTATATGCTATACTACTATAGTATATATATATAACGTAGTACTATATCAGTAGGTTGCTTTCATATAGTGCCAGGTACGCCCTAGCTAATATCTATAACTACTATATCTATACATTTATCCCATGTATCACCTAATAACTGACATGTTAGACATATTTATATAGAATTATATACACCAATTCATGCCATGGCATCATACATACATACAGTACATGATGCATGTATGTATGCAATATATATATATAGTATATATATACTACACCCTATATATATACTGTAGTTACGCTATACTATTAGTATACATTTACTATACATTACATATCAATATATTACATCCATTACATACATCTACATATCATACACATTTATCATAAATAACATACTTTAATACATACATGCATAAATACATAACTCTATACATGCATGTCGATGCATCGCATGCCTACCTTACATAATTCACAATAATATGCATATTCATATCACCAACTTTAAATATCAATGTTTAGAATGGGTGTTAGTTGTTGTTGATGTTAATTTATATTACGTGTATACATATATATGGTACATATATCATCATACACTAACACAACACAGATGTGTATTGTATGATTTTAACTTAATATCACTTATTGGAGATATATATTTTTATCATATATATATAATATATGTATGTGATGTGTGTGTTGATGTGTAGTGTGTTAGTTGTAGTATGTATGTTGATGTGTGTGTATGTAGTGTTGTAGTTGATTAGTGTGTGTGTGTGTGTATGTGTGTTTGTGTGTGTGTTTGTGTGTTGTGTGTGTTGTGTGTGTGTGTGTGTGTGTGTGTTATCTATATCTATATATATTTATATATATTCAGATATTTACACGCACACACACATACATGTATATATGTATATATTTATTTATCTATTTATTCATAATCTAAACACTTTGAACAAAAAAATAATGACAAAGTGATTATGGCCGGAAGAATATGAACAATATAAACATACGTAATTGAAAAAAAGAAAACAGAATAAAAAAATATGAACGATATAAAACTTACGTAAAGTGAAAAAAATAAAGGATAAAACGGGAAGGAGGAGACGAGAACCAGGAGGATTCCGAAGCTCACGTCAGAAGAAAGGAGAAGCGATGTCGAGAGTCGTGAATTTCATCCGACGTGACTCGCATCCGCCTCAGCCTCCGCTCTCTTCCCGGATGATGCTCGCCGAAAATAGACCATATCTGTAGGTACCATTTCAGTATCCTTCAAGCCTAATGGGGTATATTATATATATATATATATATATATATATATATATATATTATATATATATATATTTTTTTTTTTTTTTTTTTTTTTTTTTTTTTTTTTTTTTTTTTTTTTTGGGGGGGGGGTATGTTTCTTTTTTTAACGCAAAATCATTCACTCGCAATTAACTTCAAAACCAAAAAAAAAAAAAAAAATACTGTTGGGGAGGTGAATGGTACTCTGCGCGGCGCTACAGGTGGTAAGGGCGTGGTCCCCCTCCCCCTCCCTTGCCCCCCCAGGTCACGCTCTCACTCCAAAGAGGTGGAAAGCGATGCGTCACTTATGCGGCCTTTTACAGGTTGTATTTATTCCTCGTAAGCGTCTAGCGTAGAGGAAAGAGGGAGAGAGTGTGAGGAAGGGAGAAAAAAGGGGAGAGCGAGAGAGGTGGATAGAAGAATGGGGAAGAGAAGAAGAAAGAAGGAAGGAAAATAAGATAAAGGGGAGGAGGAGAGAGAGGCGGATAGGAGAATTGGGAAGAGAAGAAGAAGGAAGGAAAGCAATAATGAAGGGCGGAAGAGAGAGGTGGATAGGAGAATGGGGAAGAGAAGAAGATAGAAGGAAGGAAAGCAAGAAAGAAAAGGGAAGAGAGATATAGGGGGAGAGAATGTATGTGTGTTTGTTCGTGTGACATTGAAAGCGAGAAAAAGAAAGAGGGGGAGGAAAGAGAGAGACACAGAAAGAGTTTTTTTTTGGGGGGGAAAGGGGGTGGTATGAATAAGGAGAGCGTAATTGAGATCGATCACTTAACCACGCCAGTCGATGTATCAGCTGGTTCAAAGCGGTTTGATCTAATTCTTCAAAGGAGAGGAGTCAGTTCGTCTAAAAGTGGTTCTATGTAAGTGACGAAATCAGTCATAAATCCCAGTTGTTGATATTTTAATGTTGTATAGAGATTCTTGTTCAAAAATGGACGGAACAGTTTCACTTTCATATTTTTTCTTCAGAAATCAATCAAGTACTACATGGACTTTATCAAAATAACAGTAAAACAGTCAAAAACATGATTCAAGAACATAACTGAACAATAATAAATAATTGTTCTCATTTTCATTTTCCTGATTTACCTTAGATCCCGTCCTATCAGTATTTCTAATAGCATAACATGAATGCAAAAGCTATTCACAGACATAGCGATTATATAATATAAAAGATATCAAATGCAGAACTCATTATCTTTCTCTGAAGAAGTGAGATCAAAGGCAAACAAAGCAATGGATCTCCAGAGCCCGTGAAAAGGACGTCTGGCAGAGATCTTCCTCAGGTCTGTCTGTCTTTCATTCATCTCTGTAGACGTAAACATAAACAAAGACACATCCGAGGGTAATTTGCTCTGTAAAACGACACGGGGTATTTAGTACAATTTATCAAGGAGGGTTGCCAGGTTTCATTTCCGGGTTGTGTAATTTATCTCTTGGAATAAAGGAGGTATTAGATAACTAGATCTGAAATATGAATATGACACATTCTGCTACAGACGAGCATAAGATTGGTATGATCCCTGTTATGTAGGTACATATCTGTATTTACAATCAAGGTCCTTGTGCTTTCTCTTTTTTCCTTCTTTCTTTTCTTTTCTTTCCTTATTTCTTCCTTCCCTTTTTCTTTCTCTTTTCTTTTTTCTTCTTTATTTCTTCTTCCTCTTTTCTTTCTCTTTTCTTTCCCTCTATTTCCCTTTTTCTTTTGTTCTCTCTGTCTTTTCCTTTTGAAGGGCATACGTGAATACGCGTGACCACTTAGGCCTGCTCGCCTCTTCACGAATCGCCCGAGTCCTTTCACGCTCGTCTCCCTCGCGTCACTCAAAGGGGAAACGGAGGCGACCGCGGATGACAAACCCTCGGGCACACGCACGAGGGTCGGAAGCCGAGCGTGCGTTTTGAAAGACAGGAAATTAGCGATTCATTACGACACCCTAAACCATTTCCGATCGCCCTTCCCCTCTCCCCCTCCTCCTTCCCCCTCCTCCTCTCCTCCTTCCCCTCCTCCCCCTTTCCCAACGCCCGTGAATGAGTATGGGGGCGTGCGTGTACCGAAGGATTTTCAAGGTTGATTACCGATCCAATTCTCTTTTGCTTTCGATTTAGATGCTTTCTTAGGCTAATCGGGACTGTCGTGTTGGTTCTGTACTTATTATATGCTCCTCTGAGTGCATTTGCTTACGGTTTTCAACTCAGTGATGTGCATCTCACGCCCATACACTCCCAAGAACAGTTGTATAATTCTACGCCTCCAAGAACGGTTGTATAAGTCCGGATCTTTTTTGTCCAGACTTTCCCGAATTCCACGCGGTTCCTCAAGGTTGGAAGAGAGCCATTTCGAGCTCCTTCCCCGAAGAGACGTAAGAGCGACGACACCTTGTGAATACCAGCCATTTCCGCCTCACGAGGTCAAGATCCGAACCATTTCTCGACGCCGGGAACGACAACGCCTCGCTCGCCGGTTCTCGAGCCTCCCGGCCTTCGTGGCGACGCGTGACGCCATCTCCTGTTGCGGTCTCGTCACACGGGCGGCTGCTCCGGGATGGAAGGCACTTAACCAAAGTTCATATGTGCGGTAATTACTTATTCATGGGCTAATTGGCGATTCTTGGATTTGGCGTCTACTTCTTTATTAATGTTCTTATTTTAGGTTATTTATGTTTTGTCTCTAGGTGTTTGGAACAGGAACATATAGAAGTAGGGAATGCAATGCATACATATTGTTTTTTACATCATTGCTATTGCAATGTCTGTATATGGAATCAATTTCTTCATCCATTTTCTCATCCTACTTCAGAAGCCCCTTTTCTTCACTGGATCGCTTGCCCCGAGGACCGCGTCGAGGAACGCGAGGGCGCCCGGGCACAGCGCTCGGCGGGATCGTCTGGACCGCCCCTCGGAGGAGCAGACGACGGGCATGAGTCTTGGGCGGACCCACTCACGGGCGAGGGCGTGGGGAAGGGAGGAGGGGAGAGAAAGTGACGCTCTGGGTGCGCAACCTTGGCGGCTGTTGTGGCCAAGGCAGAGGCAGCGCGAGCGAAGTGGCCAGACGCTCTTATCGGGCCCGCCCACCGGAGCGTTTCGCTTATGTAAGAGACGTCGATATCGGCGCTTGGCTGAAGAGCAGACAGTATCTCTCGAACCTCCAGCCAAGTAGGAAGGCGGCTCCCTCCTGGCTGGCTCTGTGGTGACTGGAATTGCACGAACTAGGAGAGACAAATTGGTGGAGAAGTGTTTCTGCGAAAGGATACAAGAACTTGTGGTTCTGTGCCAGCGGGAAGCTATGGATCGACGGAAGGAGCGGAGTGCATTGCT